GCCCGGCCACATGGAAAACTGTCTGTCCGAGCCACGCTGGGGTGGCTGCCACACTCTGAATTCACAGCACACTTGATTTCAGACTCATTTCCCCCAGCAGACCAACCCGAAGTGACAGGAATTAGGAAGAAATTCCTCCACAGGCAGAGGATAATAGGTGAAATTTCATTTCATTTTCCTCTGCAGCAGCTGCCGCTGGTCCCTGCCAGGGAGCGATTAGGCAGAACAGAGATGGGATCTGTTACAGCCGTCCCGCTCTTAGGGGTGACCTTGCTCTCTAACGCCAGGATTTGCCTGCTGAAGGGGACATGTCCCCGGTCCCTGCTGGTGGTGGGAGATGCTCTGTGAGCTCTGCTGACCTCCCTGTGCCCCGCTGCCTGACTTCTCCAGGGAAATCACGGAATCATGGGATGGGTTGGGTTGGAAGAGACCTTTGAAGACAACCTTGTCTGATCCCTGGTCATGGCCAGGGACATCTTCCACCAGATCAGGTTGCTCCAAGCCCCAACCAACCTGACCTCGAACACTTCTAATGATGGGGCATCCACAGCTTCTCTGGGAAACCAGTTCCTGTACTTCACCACCTTTATTATAAAACATACCCCCCTTACATCCAACTTCAATTTACCCTATTTCATCTTAAACCCCCTTGTCCTGTCACTGCAGACTCTGGTGAAAAGTCTCTCTCCACCCCTGCCTTTGCAAAACCCAGCCAGGTAAATCACTGATGCTGAGTCCTCTGGGTGATGTGGGTGATGTCCTCAGCCTGCTCTGGCTGTCCTCACCTCGCCATTAGTGCTAATTAGGGACAGCACCCTCCCTGCTCTGCCTTGTGCCATCGCTTTGCCCCCCCGGAGCAGGGAGGTCCCCAGGGGCTGGCATCAGCAGAGCTTTGCTTTCTGCCCAAACCCAGCTCCTTTCCCAGCGTTTCTTCCTGAAAATGCGTGCCACCTAGTGCACACTCAGCCGTGTGGCAGCCGAAAACACCATCCAGCTCTCCGGAGGTTTGCTGGATCAGCCTGGGCTTGGATGGACCTTTAAAAGTCCCTTTTCCAACCCAAACTGTTCTATGATTCTGCTCGGACACAGCATCTCCATCCCACGAAGGTTTCTGCACCGGCAGGCAGTGATGTCCCCTCTGTCTGTCTCCTCAGTCTGTCTGTCCCCGTGCAAGTCACCACTTCTCAATCACACGCGTCGGCATGGTTTGAGCCAGCTGGTCTTTATTTAAAAGCACTTAAGCTGTGGCTGCAACCATCCCATCTAACACCAGTAACGCTCCTGTATCGCCTGGTGCTGGCAGATCATGGAATCACGGGATTGTTGGAGTTGGAAGGGACCTTCTAGAGATCACCCAGCCCAAAGCCCCTGCCCAAGCAGGGGTTTCCAGTGCACATCACTCAGTAGCATCCATGTGGGGCTTGAAGATCTCCAGAGAAGGGGACTCCACACCCTCCCTGGGCAGCCTGTTCCAGGGCTCTGCCACCCTCACCAGAAAGAAGTTTTTCCTCATATTTGAGTGGACCTTCCCATGTTCCAGCTTGTGCCCATTGCCCCTTGTCCTGTCACTGGGAACCACTGAAAAGAGTCTGGCTCCATCCTCCCTCAAACTGCCCTTTAGACGCTTATCAGCATTAATAAGGTCTCCCCTCAGCCTTCTCTTCTCCAGGCTAAAGAGTCCCAGTGGACACGTGGTGTATAGGGGCCTGTTGTCCATAGGATCCCGCTGCCAGGAGCCCAGTGTAGGGTGAGGTTTCACCCCAGAGAGGGCACACAGAAGAGGGAGGGAGTTACCAGCATAACCTAAAATTAGTGGTCCCCAGCGAACGCCTTTACTGTGACCAACCTGGGTGACCAGAGGTACCCAGCTCCCCATTTCCCATCCCCAGCTCCTCATTTCCCATCCCTTCTTCCACCCTATGGTCCGTGCCTGCTCCTCCGCAGCTCTGGATGCCCGTGGAGCCCGTGGCACGGTTTGGCTGCCCTCCGGAGAGCCTCCTGTCAGCGCCACGTCCTTGGGCTGCTCTTTCTCACCTGGCCGGGGTGGTTTCTGCAGCACGTTGGTCAGGAAGCAGATTACAGGCAGGAACAAAGGTGATTTTGTCTGAGGAGGGGATGGGTACCTCCCCCAAAGCTCCAGCTTGCTGCAGCCGAGAGCAATGCCAAGCCACTCCGGGAGCTGCAGCTGCTCTTTCCTCAGCCCTGCCCTTCCTTCAGCGCTTATCAGCTGCCAGAAAATATCTAAAAATTAGCACTTGGGTTACCCAATAGCAGGGAGGTGTGCTAGGACCACAGCTCCAGGTGCACCGAGGTGGGGCTCGACGCCAGGGCAGGGGAATGGAGATGCTCCTGTACTGCCCTTACATCTTTCCCTTCTCTTAAGGCTGCTGGAGACCAGCTGGTTTGGGGTGTGAGAGCTCCTCTCCTGGGACCCCACATGGCAGGGTCTCATCCACTGGAACAGCAGGAGGAGGGGAGGAAGGGATGGAAGGAGGGGAAGCTCCATCCTCGCTGAAGGTGCAGCATCCTTCATCCTAGTGCTCCCCAAAGTGCAGGCAGCAGCGGGAAGGAAATCCCTAAATACGCAGTGATTTAGCCCAGCAATCAGCAGGGGAAACCCCTCACCCCTTCTAAGCCAGTTAATGGCTCACAACAGCAACTGGTGTCTTGAGAGAAACAGCTCAGCCCCGTCCTTTCCTCCTGCCAGCGACAAAGATGCCTTTTGGTTTGGCTTATGGCTTTTTTATATTGCACCAGGCCCTTCTTCTGAACTGCCAACATATTTCCTGGCAATACCGTGGTACGAACAAATTAGTTTATTTCTCCTCATTGTATTTTCCCAGCTAATTGAAAAGGGAAACCCTTTTTTTTTCTTTCTTTCTTTTTTTTTTTTTGTAATCATTATTTTTCTGGAAGCTCTGCGCTTCTGCAGATTTGTGAGCCGCTTGTTTTCCCCAGCTTCCACCCATGGCTGAGCTGATCTGGTGACGTGCCATCCACCCTGCCACGGTGGGAAGCTGTGGCAGATGCTGCTCATGGTGGATGTGGTGGATGCTGAGTGGACATGGGCATGGCCCTGCTGAGCCCTGACCCCTCCAGAAGCCTCTCTCCCATGAGCATCACTGATGTCCTTGAGCGTCAAGGCAGCAGGACCATCATGTAGGAAGAAAAAGAGCTTTTTTTTTTTTTTGCCTGGCGAACAAAAGAGCAGCCTTGCTGCCCTGTGGAATTTTATAATTAGCCTTTCTCATGTTGTTGCTGCTCCTTGAATAAGGCTGGCTGTGTTTTCTCTTCCCCGTAGCCTGAGACTGCTAAGGCACTCAAAGCACATGCAGCAACGATGTAGACATGGAAGTAGCCTGAGATGCTGCCCAAGTGGCCCAAAAAATCATGGGCAGGGTGGAAAGCATCGTCGGGCTGCTGACCTTACCCCTGGGCATCTGCATTTAGGGAGGCTCACGTTCCTGGTGTTCAAAGCCTGGGCGAGGATCGATGCTGAAGTTGATGATTTCCAGCCCCCGGGGCCCTGGCGGCTCGCCAGGACGGCGGCGAGTTTGTCAAAGTTTAGGCAAAACACACTTAAAAGGCACCTTTGAAACTTGCATTTGCGAGCTGGCTAATTAGAACTTCGCTGCTACTGGGAAATAAAAAGTAAATGCCTAATCGCTAATTACCGAATCCCTACAAGAAAGGACTGGCAGATGGGTAACCGTGCAGTTAGCGACAGTTGTAGCCAGAACCTGCTTTGTACTGAGTTAAAACACGAAGCCCAGGCGTTTAAGGGCATTGAAAGGTCTGGGTTTTGTGAAGAAGCAAATGAGCAATCCAGCAGCAAGAGCTGTCCCCCTGTGGAAGTGAGGGCAGGAATCCTGTCGATCATAAGTTCAGCTTGTTCAAAGCCAAAGCACACCAGGTTCCTAAAATTGCTGGGGAGCTTCAAAATTCACACATCTGGGAAACCCAATGTGTTTGGGGGTCCTTTTTGCATTGCCTGAGACTTGAGTCTCAAACTGTCAGGCCTTTATTTGCAACGGCGGTTAAAATGGTTAAAAGGCTATAATGGTTAAAAATGGTTAAACACACACTTCCTTCCAAAATAAAGAGTGATGCCCCAGTTGGGAGCTGAAGGAGAGGATATGAATGTGGAGCACAGGAGGTGATGGAGGTGGATGGGAAAGGTTTCCAGCCCCAGAATCTCCCTCACTGTGGACTGAGATTTGCAAGGATGTGGCAGGTCCCTCCAATGTCCTCAGCAGAGCCACCTTGGGTGGCCTGGCAGGAAAAATCCTGAAAAAAAAGGACCTCTGAAGGCAATTCCTTGCCCAGGAAGAGACAGGGAGGACCATGGTTTGCAGGAGGAGTGGGGCCCCCAGCGAGCGGTCCCCAGATTCCCTGGGCAGAGCAGGAGGCTTGGGACCATCCCCTCCCGTCATGTCCTGGTGCTGGCTCAGGCATCGACAGAAATATTTCCATCCAGCTGGTTGTTGCTGGCTTCCTCTCCAGGTGGGCACTCAGCAAGCCAAGGAGGGAGGTGGGAAGGAGCCGGAAAGCCCAAATCCTCTGAAATAGCTTCTCCCTTCCCCCGAGGCGTAGCCCCGGCTCTGCCAGCTCCCAATTTAAGGATGTGTCCCTGCCTGCCTTCCTGAAATCCGAGCCATTCCCTCCCCGCCATGTCTCCTTAAAAGTCTTCCCTCTCTTCCTCCCTCTCTCCTTCTTCTTTTTCTTTTTCTTCTTCTTCTTCTTCCCCCTCCTCCTCCCTCTCTTTCTCCTTCACTTTCAGGATGATCTGCCCCAGGAGGGGATGCAGGGAGCTGTGACCCAGCTGACAGCAGCCACCTCCCAGCCCCAAAGGTGCAAAGAGATGAGGGGCTGGAGCTGTTCGGTTGATGGATGAGATACCTTTTCTCTTCCTTCCTTCCTTTTTTTTTTTTTTTTTTAATTTACTAAACAAAATCTCAGCTAAAGAAAAAATTCCTGCCTCATCCCCATCACCTTCCCCCTGGGAATATTCATTTAAAGAAGTATTTTTAACATTTTTTTAACTAACTAGCCAGCTGTTTACTTCAAAAGACAATATTTATTTCTGGGATTAAATATACCCATCCTTATACTGGAAAGAAAATACCAAACAGGTATGTGGATTTATGATGCTTTGTTGTTTTTTTTTCAGGTCAGGGTGGTAATTACAAATAACAATCTGATGGGGTGGTGGAGGCTGAAAGACCATAATTTCTCATGAAATTGTTTGAATAATTGAAAAGTGGAAGAAGTGACAGCTGGAGGGCAGGGGGTTGGGTCCAGCCGTGGCCAAGGGGGACCAAAGGGGACGGAAGGACCCATGGGGTCTCGTGTGCAGGAGAGAGGAGATTTCACCGTGGGCAAAGAGCTGGCTGGGCACAGTGTGTGGTGTGTGTTATTTGGGGTGAAAGCAGGGATTTTCTGTGCCCTGTATTAGAGCCCTGCTGCTACCTTGTGAGTGATGCATCGGACAGGGTGCTCGGTGCTGGTGTGAAATGGGGGAGATGTGGGGTGTCCTGCTCCTGCCATCGGGTGAGCGGTTGGGGTCTGTTTTACAAGATGCCTGAACAGCTTGAAAGACCTTTCTTTGGGGGCACTTTCAGAAACCCACGTTCATCAACCCTTTAAAAGGGATGCTGGGCTTTGCTACAGCACCACGATGGCTTGTTATGGCTTAAAAGCAGTTTTTTAATCTACGGGCATCCCTAAAGGGCACCGACCTAAAGGGTGCAAGGAAAAGGTGTGGGGGGGGTCAGTTTGCAGCTGAACCCCAAGCATTGGGGTGAGAATGGAGATGCAGCTGGAAAAGCTCAGTCAGAGCAGGAAAGTTGGGTTTTGCCTTTTTGGGGTCGGCCGTGGCACAGCATTGCAGTGGTTAACTCCCGCTGCTGCCCTGCCAGGGAGCAGGAACGTGCTGGCTCCGGCACAAAAGTGGCCCACAGATGACAATGTCCCCAGGAGCAGGACATGATGCGGGGGTTTGGCCGGGACAGGGTGGCAGAGGGGCCGTCTGTCAGCCCTGCCCCACCGGAGAGCGGGGAGGGCCGGCGGGACAAAAGGCGACATTATTCGGTGCTGCAGGAGGGATGAATGGAGTATTGAAAAACGCCACCTTAGAGAGTAGATTGATTTTCATCCCCCATCACTGAGCCGTCTGTCTGCTGGCGGGTCTCCTCCCAAGGCCTGGTCAGCAGGAGCTGAGCAGTGAGAGCAGGGATGTGTAACGGGGCAGCGTCCCATCCATGGTGGCTCCATCCTGCACCTCCAGCGCTGTGCTACCATCATCTCTCTTGTGTGCTGGTGCACACAAAAAGCCTTGGTCTACCATCATCTCTTGCTGGTGTGGGCAGCTAAGTCAAAGGGGTGGTCTGAAGGCTTGGGAGCCCACCCAACCCATGGTCTTGAAGGATCTTGACTGTGTGGACAAGGTTCCACCTGGAAGCCCTTCCCACCTTCTGCCTCAAGCCAGGAGCAGTGAAGGGCTGGATGAGGGGCTTCCACAGCTGGGGGGTGTTTGGTCACAGATACAGCAGATTTCAACGTCCTTTCCCAAGTTTCTGACCATCAGTAGATGCTTCAAGCAGCAGCTTCTTCAAGAAGCCCATCCCTCCAGGAGATGCTGCGCCTTGTGTGGGCTGGAGGGGCTAATTTTAGGGCTCTGCTTTGCTGAGACTTAGAGCCTGGCTTCAGAGCCAGCGTGTGAAAGCATCCTCACGATGGCACTCCTCCACCAGCTCACGCTGCTGTCCCAGTGCTGCTGTCAGGCTGGATGCTGGGACCACTGGGACCTTGGTCTGGGTTCCCAGAGGTGTAAGAGAGAGCAGGAACAGCCCACGTCTGCTCCCCATCAGGGTGTGAGGGAAGCAGAGCCAGAAATCCACCACTTCAGCAGTAATTTCTGAAGGGAGCAATAAATGAAAGGGAAATGGCATCTTATAATATTTAATCTCTTCCTCGTTCTCTGCATGACATTCCCCTGTTGGCTTTCCATCTTGTCCCCGAGGAGTTTGCATCTCCATCCCCCAGATGAATGAGGTTGTCCTATCAGACCCCAGAAATTTCTATCTTCCCACAGAAATGCCTTTTGTTGCTTTTTCCCATGGGGTGAAGAAGAGCAGAGGCAATGGGGTCCTCTGGGTGAAGCCCCCAGAAACGTGCCAGCTGATGCGGGGAGGTCTCCTGTTGGGTGGTTAGTGTGGAGGTCTTGAGGGACATGGGTGGCCAGGGATTAGAGCTGCCCAGGAGAGCTCTTGGGTGCATTAATTCATCATGGGGTGATGAAGAAAGACGGGTGCAAGACACCGGACAGGGTGTTTTCGTAGCTCAAGCATCATATATGACCATGTGCTGCCTGGTGGGACCCCATGGGGACCCCAGCACAGGCTGGATGCTGGGAAGGGCCTCTGGGAGCCAGGGGGCTGTGTCACCCATGAAGTAGATTCCTTCTTCAAGCAGAAGGAGCTGGGCATGGTCTCCAGGAGCTCAGTGGAGGAGGGCACCAGAGGGAGAGGAGCCAAGGCAAAGCAGAGGGTTGGCCATGGCTGTGTCCAGGCTGGGCTTTAGCAGCCTTCCCTGGGGGGACGTAGGGTGGGCAGCCTGGCTGGGGGCGAAGAAAAGCACCATCCTTTTCCAAAGGAGGTTGTGTGACATGGTTTGGTGGAGTACTAGGTCCAACCCGTGGTTTGGGAAGTGTCTTTCAGGGTTGTGTGGGTGGGAAGTTCCTTCCCAATTCTGCCTGGATTTAAAGTGTGACTCGGTTTACCCACCTGTGGTTTGGGGTACGTGGTATATATCTGCTACGGGGTTTGCTTGTAACCTCATGCAGAAGTAAGAGAAGGACAAGCTCCATATGGATGCAAACAGGATGGTTCCCTGAATGTCTTGGGTGCTGAAGATCCCGGGTGAGAGCTCTGAAGCTCAGCATTCAGGTGTCCTGGTGGGTCTGAGGTCCATCCTTCTGCCTGTAGAGCAGCTCAGCCCTGAGGCTCTCGCTGCTTCCAGTTTTGTCTCCTGGGTGGGATGTGGCCCTGCAGCTTCAACTTGCCACTCAAAGAAATATCTCTTGTTCTCAATAACTCTACCCAGAATTATTTTTCTTGTGACTCCTGGTCACCACTCCAGCAAAAGCCAAAGATGGACTTGTTTGCAGGTCCTGCTTGGCCCTTGGTGGGGCAAAGGTTCTCCTGGCCACCACCACTAACGTTCTTGTCGGCATGTTTCAGGGACAACCTCCTCAGGACACCCACCTGTGGGAGGACCACGGCACAGCAATGAGACTCGGTCTCCATCCATCCAGCCGGCACAGTGTGGGGAGGCTCGACATTGGGGTGCTGCCTCTCTCCTTGATGACAGCCACGCTCCTCCTCCTCCTCCTCCTTGGCCGCACTGGTAAGCTCCTGGGTGGTGGGGCAGGATGGGTTAATTTTAGGCACCCACGATCTCCCTCCCAGCCTTGGCTTTGTGGGCAGGAGATTTTCTTCATGGAGAAGAAGGGAGGGACATTCAAGAGGGACAGGGAACTACTGGAAAGAGTTCAGCGAAGGGCAACAAAGATGATTCAAGGACTGGAGCGTCTCCCTGCTGAGGAAAGGCTGAGAGAGCTGGGACTCTTTAGCCTGGAGAAGAGAAGGCTGAGGGGAGACCTTATCAATGCTGACAAGTATCTCAAGGGTGGGTTGAAGGAGGAGGGAGCCAGACTCTTTTCAGTGGTTCCCAGTGAGAGGACGAGGGGCAACAGGCACAAGTTGGAACATAAGAGGTTCCACTCAAATATGAGGAGAAACTTCTTCACGGTGAGGGTGACAGAGCCCTGGAACAGGCTGCCCAGGGAGGGTGTGGAGTCCCCTTCTCTGGAGATTTTCAAGCCCCGCCTGGATGCTCCTGAGTAACATGCTCTGACAAGCTCTAGGCAATCCTGCTTCAGCAGGGGAGTTGGACTAGATGGTCTCTATGGTCCCTTCCAACTCTAATAATTCAGTGAAATTCAGTGAAATTCAGTGAAACCATGAGCAGGGATGTCATGATGTCCCCAACGGCGTTGAGTGTGCAGAGGGATGGAGGGAACGAGTTCAGCTCCTCTCTCCCACCATGATCTACACGTGATGGCAAGTTCAGCATCCAGGACAGGCAGCTGCCAGCGATGGGGACAGCATCTGAGCTCAAGAGCAGGCAACACCACTGGGAGGATGCTGATGGCCAAGGATGGGAGCTGAGGGACTGGTCCAGTTGAGGCGATGGGTGGGATGAGCACTGGTCCCCTGAGGAGCCTGAGGTCACTCCTGGCAGGCACTATCCGGCCAGGCTGGGATTTAGCATTTAAATCAAACTGGGAAAAGCCATTCCTGCTCTAGACAGAGGGTCCCCGCCAGCGCTGCAGCGGCGTAATTATCCTGGTGTGACTTTATCAGTGTAATTACAGCCAGGCGGCTGGTAACACCTTCCTGCCTCAACAAAACCCTGCCAAGACAAAGCCCGCCAGAAAGCAGGCAATTAAGGTGTAGTCAGACACCGTAATTGGATTTAATCAGTTTTTATAGCTCCCACCCCCTCAGCTGGTGCTTCCCTGCACCCCTGGTGGCAGCCAGGGAGGGGGGACCCTGGGGGGACCCCGATGGCTCTGCCTCTGTCCCCTGCACTGCTGGGCTCTCTGGGTTCTCTTCATTAATGGGCACTGCTAAGTCGCTAACGAAGGGAGATTTGTCCTCCCATTTGGTGGTTTTATTTAGCACTGTGCCCTGAAAGGGATGGTGTTTACTCTCAGCTTGTTCCCCCTTTTTTTTTCTCCTGGCTTTCTGAAGCAAGATCAGAGAAACGCGGAGGGCTCTATCTCTTCTCCAAAAAATGCCACTTTCCTCTCGTTCCTCATTAATGTAGACATACCAGACATATTTTTTCAGGTCTCTCTTGACTTTGCTGGAGGATGCTCTTAAATGAATATTTCAGAGCTTTGATTTTGACTTAAAGGGAGATGAATATTGAATATTTAACAATGTCCTTTTTATCCACTGCTTTTTCAGCAATGGAGTGGAACTAGGTGTTAAAAATCAATACAAACCAGGATCAAACAAACGCTCTTCCTAAAAAGCCTTGCATCTCCATATTTCTGGTGCAGAGGTGATGTGAATTACATCTCTCCTGTTATCCAGCCCATGGGGCTACCATGTCCTTCCCTGTCCTCTCCTTTGGCAAGCCAGCTTCTCTCTTCCCTTGGTCTCGCCTGTCTAATCCCCGGTTCTTGCTGGCATCACAGCATCCCTTTCCATCCTGCCTTTGTCCCGCTGGGGTGGCTGGAGAGGACAGCAGCACCTGACCATAGCTGGAGCTCCCTGCTGCCATCATCCATCCCAGCTATGGGTGGCATCTCGCTCCTAACCCCTGCTCCTGGGTGCTAAGTCATAGCTACAGCCAGACGGTTGCTTTATTCTCATTTTTCTTGGAGCTTCTAGGTCTTTCCTTGACCTGGGTCAAGGAAAAGGTCAGCCCTGTTTTGTAGCTGACTTAACGGTCCCCCAGGCCACGTCCTAGCAAGGCAAGAGGGAGGTGGGTTCATCTGCCCAACTGTCCCCTCCAGTCTCATGCTGCTTCTCACGATGGTGACACCCGCCTCCGGAGTGGCAGGAATTGACCTTCACGTCATTGCTCATAGGCTGAGAGTGAAGCAGGACAAGGCTGGTCCAAACCAGGGGTAGGAAAAAAAGGCCACGGAGCCACCTCGGGAGCTGATCAGCCCTTGGCTGCTGTGATCAGCATAGAGGGATTTCCTGTGCTCGGGAGGTGTCACCCATGGGAGAGGGCTGTGCAGTCTCAATCCCGAGGAGCCCTGGATGCCCGAGGAGATCTGTGTTGACCTGAAGCATCAGCTGAGGGCTTGCAAACTCCTGGGGCACCCACAGGGACAGTGATGGGGACATCCACACAGTTCAGCCACCCATCCCCATCCCCTGTCCCCCGGAGCACCACGATCACATTGCCCTGGACAAGCCAGCGACCTCGGTGCCCGGTGCTGGCATCATCCTGGGGGGACCCCATATCACTCAGAATCGGGGCCAAAAGGAGGAGGTTGTGCCCAAATAATGCCCAAACTGTGAGAGAGGAGCCTGGACCAGTTTGGGGAATGAGTTGTTGGGGGGAGCTCTGGCTCTACCTATGGTCCCCCCCGAGTATCCACGCCCCCCGGCTGTGGGGCTGCTGGCAGGGCACTTTCAGAGCCCTTAATTAAACCCAGCTGAGGGCTGAGAATTAAATGGAAATTTAAACTCCGTGGCAGCACAGTTTCTCATGTGGCCAGGCAGCCAAACCCCAAGGCAGAAATCACCAGGGGTCTGTCCGTGTCCCCAAAGTTCTCACCTCCCTCTTCCCCTTGGGTGGTGGAAGTGGTCCCTGAGCCAGGTTCCTTGAATGGCTGAGGCTATTCCCATTCAGCCATTCCCATTTCTGTGGAAAACAGATGGGAAGAAATAGGATAAATGCATATAAATATAGAGCTTGCAAAAAGTGGACTTTGTTGGGGGAAAAAAAAAGAAATTAATAAAAAATTGGTTAAAATGCACATGGGAATGCCCAGCAGAGCATCTTCCATCAGGAGATGGTTTCCTGTGCCAGGCAGGACTGGTTTTCCTCGTTTCCATCTCACGCCCCGAGTTTTCCATGGGGAGATGGGGCACAGGGCAGGAGGGTGCAGGAGCTGCCTGGGGACCCCCAGCAAGTCAGCGGTGGAGCCAGGGACAGACACAAAGGTCCCCGAGAACCAGCCTGAGGTGGGACCCACCTGGGCTGCTGCTGCCAGTCCGAGGAGCTGCTGGCAGCGAGAGGAGGGAAAGGAAAGAGAGAGGGAAGGAAAAGCTCCTTCTGCCCAGGAGCCAGCCAGGGAGCAGCTAGATCTCGGGGTGGGGGGTAAAGGCAGCCCTTGGCCCCCCTCGATCACGCTTCACCCTCGGGAGTTGCAAAAACCCATGTGAACCAGGACTTAGAGGAGGGACACACACATGTCACCCAGTGCTTAGAGCAGAGTCACCACAGAGCCACAGCCACTCGCACCACATGCTGCTGCCTCAGTTTCCCCACCTGTGAAGCAAATGAAATAATGCCCTGGGCTGTGGTGTTTATTTTCTTCCCCCCTCAAACCTTGTTGCTAAAAAGGGAAGGAAGGGTCCAGGGGTGGGCTGCTGGCTCCTATCAGTCCCTGCCATTGCACCTGCATCCCTGCTGCCATCATCCTCCTCACTGCGAGGGTGCTGGGGAGATCTGATCCCTTTTCTTCTTCCTCCCTTGCAGGCACCACCTCCGAGCCCCCGCTGGTGCCATTCCCAGGTGAGATTCTTCTCTTAAAGCTGCTTTTCTCTAGGAAGTTTTGTAGCTGAAAAATGCAATTCTTTTGGGGGTTAAAAATGGGGTTTGGAGAATTTCAAAATGGAAGCATAGTGGTTTGGAACAAAAAGCGGCAACAAAAAGGGAAACTTCTTTTAGAGAAAGGAAATAGAGATCCCTTATTGTCTCCATTCCATTTATTATCCCAAGAGGGGAATTTTGCCACCTCCTGCTGAGTCCCTGTCCCTGTGCCACTCGTCACGCCCGAGTGACTAATTCCCTTGACGTGGCAGGCCAGGGGCACTTCCATGCCTGCTCCCCATCACCAGCAGCTTGAGAGATCATCTCCATCCCACCAGCTCCCACGGGGGACCAGCTCCGGACACGTTTGTTGAGGCTAACAAGAATTTGCTAATTGCATCTCGTCACTTGTCGCCCCAGTCATATGGCATTACGTGATGTCATATGTCTGCTTTCCTTTTCTCCCGTTGGGTTATTGCCCAGGCCATCATCTTGGTAGGCAAGATGGTGAGGGGGATGGTGCATCTCATTTATGTAGCGAGATGTGTTGAGTCTTCATGTCCACTGCTTCCAGCAGATGAAGAGAAGCCCATGCCCCACCATCACGTGGGTAGCGCCAAGCCAACAGCTGCCTTGTGCTACAGTGAAGGGTCACCATTTCATTTAAGGAGCAGAGATTTGGTGTAGAGAGGGCTCTTGGCCTCCCCATGACAGTCACTGAGTGTTTGCCGCCTCCTGGCCCAAGGACAGGCTTGTTGCCTGCTGAGGGACATCTCTCTGTCCATCCTTCCAGAGATACGGCTTGCCAACGGGCCCAGCCGGTGCCAGGGGCGAGTGGAGATCCTCTACAATGGCTCCTGGGGGACGGTCTGTGATGATGACTGGGACATTGTGGATGCCAATGTGGTGTGTCGCCAGCTGGGCTGCGGTCACGCCATCACCCTGCCAGCTGCCATGACCTTTGGCCAAGGGAGTGGACCCATCTTCCTGGACAACGTGGACTGCAAGGGCTGGGAGGCAGCCTTGAGCGAGTGCTGGAGCCATGGCTGGGGCATCCACAACTGCTACCACTACGAGGACGTGGCCGTCATATGCAATGGTAATGAGGCTCGGTTCCTTGGGGGCAAGGAGAGCAGCGAGGTGCCTGTGGTGCTGCAAGTCCTGGGTGTCTACAGACACCTTGGGGGAGCCCAAGAGTCACATCTCAGAGCATGTTCCTCTCAGCCTGGGTCAGCCAAACCTCCTCTGCCTCCTTCCTCCACCCCTTTCCTCAATCCAGGTCATCTCCCAGCTCCTCATGCTGGTGCTCCGTAGGGTGACCGCCTTGTTCTGTGTTCCCCGTCACTCCCAGCTCAGGGATTTTGCAACCTCTCCACCATGATCCCTGGGGAAAGAGCACAAGCCCACCCACGCTCCTGCCTCTGAGTCAGCCGCTGCCCAACTGCTCTTTCCCCTTTTGACTTGCCTTTCTTTAAATTGCTGAGCTCGTCAGTAGGATATGTTCCTAGAGGTGAGAAAAGCAGCGGAAGGCGTTTGAACTTGGCATGTGAAAGTGGAACGGCGCCGGGCCCACCCCTATACACTCTACACGTTCCTCCTGCACATCTACGTAGGGTTTGCTCATCAGCCATGCGTCAACGGGTGGTAAACACGAGGCTCTGCAGACCCGGAGCTCGGCCATGGCTGCAACTGCTCGGTGGTTCCCTGTGTCCTGCAGAAGCGGGGCTTGGAAAGGGGGGGATCCTGGGGTGGCTGATGGGTTGGACCAGCAGCAACCAGAGAAAGGAGGTCATGGACTGAGCTGGAGTCCTGAATCAAGGTGCCGCTGGAGAGGAGAGGTGGAGGGACTGAAGGAGGAGGTGGGGGAGATGGGTCTGAGGGCAGAGGAGCAGCTTGAGCCGCTGGTGTTCGTAGCTTGGTTGGCAAAGGAGACCCAGAGGTGCTTTGGGGCGTCACTAAGAGGAGATGCAAGAGTTTGACCAAAGCACCAGACCCCTAGGGAAGGTGCTCCCATCCGTGTCCCATGGAAGTTTTCAAGATCCAGCTTTCTGTCGGTTATGGTTATAGGAAAGCGTGGAGCCGGCCAGTTCTTCCCTGTGTGGTGGGTTGGGTTTCCTGGGATATATCCCGCAGCCCTTGGACACGCGTCTGGCCATCAGACTGCTCGGCTCCAACCCCCTCCAGCTCCCCACGCCACCCCCAGATAATGTCACCAGCCCAGCCAAGGACCTGGGACAAGATGCTCGAAACAACACTGTTAGCAAAAGAAGTACAGGTAAAACCAGCAGGAAAATCAAAATATTACTGTTTTCTTCTCTGTATGCCATGACGTTGAACCTGAATCCCACTGTAGGTGGGAGCGTTACTCCTGACAGCTCAGCACAGCGCCGTGACTTAGTCCAGGTCCTCATGCCATGCTGCTGGGCACAACTTCCCACCGTGCCAGCAGCCGAGGTGCCAGCTCCACCCACCTTCCTGCACCCACAACCGGGCAGATCCCTCTGGGCAGGGGGGTCCAACTGCAAACCTCTCTCTGTGTCCCCACCAGGGCTGGTTTGGTGCAAGCCCTCTTGCTGGGTGGACAGGGCAGTCACTGCTCACAGCTCACATTCCGGAGGGATGGCTGTGGGCAGGAACGGATGCCACCCCTCTGCTTCCCTTTTCAGAGCTCTCGCCCACGCAAGCCAGTGAAGGACCGACGAGCAGGACCCTCACATCCTCGGTACAGGATGGGGAAAGTAAGCTGCTCAGCATTCCTTGCAGGCTCCCCCACCCTCCC